AAAGTGCCTAATACCCTTGTAAGCCAATACAATGCCATATAATAATAATAGCCACAATGTCGTTGAAAAATAAATCATTCAGGGACATATAAAGTTGAACATTGGGAAAAACCGAAAACCAGGCTATTTACAGTACCTACTTTGTCAAATTTGAGCATTATAATGTTGATTTTGAGATATTAGCTGAGATAGTAGCTCATTCAAACCGATTGTTATTCATGGGATACAATGAAGACTCCTGTAAAACTTTGAATTTAGTAAAGAATAACTAAATTCGTATTCAGTCTTGTCAGATCCCTTCCATTTACTGAAAGTCAACAGTGGGCTCATTTCGGTTGTAATTTCTAATTAAACAATGATCTATTGAAAATTCAGTCCACATCAATGTAATGAGCGCGTTCACATCGCGTTAATTAATTACCGTATTTTGCCATCTGATTTCTACTACGCTTCCCAATTTATTCATTTAATTAGCCAATTTGCCACTTCGTAACGAATTAGATTGGACACAACGTTTTTCCCCTTGACAGTTCTCGTCACGTTGCGCGTTTCGCAGACGCTCGCGCTGTGAAAATATTTGGAAATTAAACTTCAATTTTAGTACGCCGTTGATCCAATCTTAATTATAATTTTATGAATAAAGTTATCCAATTTCGCCAGTCGCTCTATTTTAACGATATTAGCCCCGTAATATGCATATCGATCGATTGATTATGTAGGCGAAATTGCTTCCATAACTCAATCAATCTTAATTTTTACACGGTCGCGTGTCGAAGGTGCTAATCCGCAAATTGAGCTTTGCGGGTGGTAAAAGCGAAGTTAGATTGACGCGATTAAAGGATCCCAAAGCGGTCATGTAAAGCATGCTTGTGCATGAAGCATACCGTATTTATATTCTTTGATTCAGATTCACGTCTCTGACATCTCCTTTGACGGGTATGATGCAAGGCTGTTCAACATGTTTGATACTTCAAGATTAAAGATCAAAGACAAGAAATAAACTCTTAGAAAACTGGCAAACCAGACGCTCTACATTTTTATATCCGTAATGAAAAGCAAATAGCACGAATAAAACCTACTTTAGAAAGGAGAAATTTCACGTCATACGAAAATACCTAACTACTTTTATCAAACAATCACAAATTTACATTATTTTATTATTAATAATTTTTCCGTTCCGTGAACCATAACCAAATATTATTATTTTAATAGGTATAGGAAATACTTTAAAGATAGTTTTGAGCTCTTTTAAGCTGCAATTTTGAAATTTAGCTTTAGAATTTCATCATATGTCGACGTTTTAGATTATCTTAAGCAGCTTTTATAATTTCTTTCCATCGGTATGTATGTATGTACGTACTGGTACCGGCACAATAAGAAGGCGAAAGTGCCATGCGCAACAGACACTTACCTAAACTAGCCCAAATTATACTTTTTTTTTCTTTTTAAATTCTCTCTCAGGATACAACTGCGTTCCGACACAACAAGGAAGTCCTAACATCGACTTAAAGCTCTTATAAACTCTTACTACTTTGTTAACATAAAAATAACTACGTTTTTCTTCTTTTAAACTCGCTTAGCGTCATAGAATTTACGATCTCTTTCGTAATAACCCGAAACAGTTCCCTTCGGCTCAACAGCCCCGTTTATTCTTCACTTCCACTAATAAATTCCACATTGTTGTTCCCCGGCGACATTCGAAATTCCGTTCGGTCGCTCGAACTTATCGACGCCTGCGTTGCTTATCTCGCACGTGACATTGTTGTGGTCAACGGAAACTTTTAACATTACGATTAAAAATTCACTTAATTATGCGTTTTAAATTTGTCATACAAACTAAATACGAGAACTATAATTAAACGAATTAAACAATTACCGGCTAAATTTACAATAAGAAAGTAACATTAAAAATGACAGTTCAACAAATTTTTCCCATTCTGTACTCTTTTGAAATACCTAACTAGTTCTTATGAAATGTCTTGAATATATACTGTGTTCCGATTACTATTTCCGACATTCCGACCGATATTACGTTAACTACACGTATTTTTACATTAAAAGGTGGCTCGCTCTCATCTTCGGCATTGTTTCAACCTAGCGAAACGTCACCTCCATGTAGTTTACACAACAGTATATTAGGAATACGAAAACGAAATAGTGAAAAAGGAGCACGGAGTGACATCGAACTTTTTTTTGCTGCGAGAAAGGGGAATTGTTAGTTTGTGCCTAGGTTTGCGCGGATTATTTTATAGTCAGACCGTGAATATTTGGCGCTGTCCACATACCGCAGCTCCTGATTTTTATTTATTTTTATTTTATTTTTTTATTTAATTTATTTATTTTATTTATTTTATTTATTTTATTTATTTTATTTATTTTATTTATTTTATTTATTTTATTTATTTTATTTATTTTATTTATTTTATTTATTTATTTTATTTATTTTATTTATTTTATTTATTTTATTTATTTTATTTATTTTATTTATTTTATTTATTTTATTTATTTTATTTATTTTATTTATTTATTGATGAAGGGGATTCCCTACAGAGTTGTCAAAAACTTCTCTTCTGCAGTGAAGAGTGTCTGCTCAGTTGCCTAAGCAGCTGTGAGCGTTAAACGGGAGGCGTTTAAATCAGAAATCAGATGTTTACTGTCATAGTCCTTTGAATATAGGGTTAGAAAGCATTCATTAGATCTAAGAACCACGGGCTCACAGTTATGTCCAGGGAAACTTCAGTCACTTTCTTACGATTTTTGTGTGACCGCATGCGGGGGGGGGGGGCATTTGAAAATGCTGAAAATGATGTCTTTATGAGAAGGAAACATTCTGTATAAATAATGTTCTTTTTAAGGATAAAAATTTTATAAGATTTTAGCCATTTTTGAAAAATTAATAATGTAAGCCTTTCCTAATTATTTCTATTTTTCGCCAATTCTTGTGTCATCTACCCGTCTTTTTTGAGATCTTCCAATGCACCTTTGTTACGTGCACTTAAGGCACGTTTTTTCAGTGTTTTAGTTAAGTAATTAAATCACATAGTTTTTATAGCACTCAAAGGTACGGGTTGCCTACCCCTTCGGGGTGTAGGTGCACATCCTGCTCTCGTTGATTGCGAGTGTGGTTCGAACAAGCCCTCTGCATAGTGTTCAAAAGTTTTTAAGGAGGGACTAGGTACAAAGACACTAATAAGTTTTACATTACCTATTATGTTTTTAGGGTTGAGTAAAATTTTACAACAAACCCTTTATTACGTATTCCCCCCAATCAATGACAAAAAGGTCGGCATGAAGCTAGAAACTGGATTAAGTATAGATATCGGGTGTTAGAATGGTGTCTAAAATTAATAACTCCCAGGATTAATGACCCCCCCCCCTCCCCTTCCATTTTATACCTAATTAGCAGTTAACCATATTTTACCGCATGGCTCATTGAGAGATCCTAGATAGTCTAGTAAATGACGTACAATGGCAACTCGCACTGAAATGGCTCAGATATTTCCGCTGAGGGCCATAAAAACTTTATGCGATTTCAGAAATCGGCTAGTTAGCGCCTTTGTGAGTAGGTAACATCTACTCTTATGAGCTTAACTGAGCCACAGTAGTCAACCCCAAACATTCTAAACGGGTTTTGATAACCATGGTGCTTAGGAGAGTTCAATGGTCAAGTAATTAGCAATCAGCATTTGGGCAAAAAGGTAATCGATAATACTTGCCGATAAATACAGGAAAGGGAAATCGACCAAAAAAGTACAAGAAAGATACTGTGCGTGACCTCTAGAGGCAGAATAAGGAACTACGAGGTGGCATGTATACCAATAATAACTACACCGAATTTACGGAAAAATTATACAGATGGCGTAAGGAGTATCTATATTTAAATGGCAAAAAACGTATATCTTGTCGTCCCCTTTGATCTTAAATTAAATGTAATTAAACAGCAAATCGCAAAATCAATAATTCACGAAGTGACTACAAAACCCGTCAAGGTACAACGCAGTAAGTTACAGGAAATTTATTCTTTGCTTGCAAAATCTTTACAAGTAAATCACACTCAAAAGGAAAACGTTGGAGGTATATTAGTGAACTCACTCGTAATTAACCACAAGAAAACCGGTTATCAAATGGCAAATAATGTGAATTACAGTGCCTGCTGTTCCTGTCTGCAGACGCTGTTCACATATATGAAAGTTTCTTGTGCTTCCTCTCCTCTCTTCTTCAACCGGAAATGCTTCCTATAGGTGATCGTGTACCGAAGATACTGAATCTCTCTTCTTTTCCATTTCGAGTCGTACTAAGTCAACATTGATGCAAGAATGAACTACCTTTGACCTGTTATTTAAAATACGAATGGCGAGTGCAATGATTAATAACTAATTCGTATTTATAATGTATCTCTAGTAAGAAAAATCTCATATACAAAGTATATACGAATAAGTAACTAATAAAAAGACTTGACTCCAATTAATAAGGTTGTTTTAGTGCAATATACCCGAGTTTGATCGATTGTTTCGGGGCTATGAAAAAATCTGCACACTTTTCGTAATTGCCTATTTGTCTTTCACTGATTTTGTATGCGTAATTTGATTTTTTTATTAAACAATTGCGCGATACTCGTTAAAAGTTTGACGGAAGTTTGTCGCAGACCGAGCGTAATAACACGAAAAGTTTTAAAATATAATCACGACGTCCTTGCACAGATTTATAAAAATGCTCTGGCGCATCTGTAAGTTTTTAATCAAAAGTGCATAGAGGTGCAACCACTGCGAACTACTAACAGTGTGTCAAATTGCCTTTTTGGTTCGTTACGTGATTCTAACGATCCAATTTACGTTGGCTCGAAAGGAGTAGAATTGTGTTTAATTTAGAAAGGTAAAGACGCCTTTTACTGCGACAACGAAACGAAATTGAACATTTTTATGTTTATTTAACCATAGCCTGGTGGTTTACGAGCGAGTATTTCTGGTTGGTATTGATTTGTGTTCTCTTAATTTAGCTTTAACGAGGATATTCCAAATTAAATGGAGGATGAGGAAGAAGAAATAACTCCTTCGACTTCACAGACTTCGTCGACCATAACGCTAACCCAGCACAGTTTAGCGACAGTTAAAACATTTTCATCCACAGCTTTGAGTAGTGAAAATAGTGCTTCGTTTGAAACAATACCGCAATGTCAAATAGTAACGCACCAAGCTAGTGGAGATTCTGTAGAGAGTGAAGATTCGACATCGCACCGCTTGTCTTCGTCGCCTAGATACTCACCGCTTATTAGTAAATCGCCACATTCAAGCTCATCACAGGAGGAGTACGAAGTTGATAAGCATAAGGGTCAGTACTTAACTACTACGGGGTTTAGGCAGGAGACCACCAGAAGCATGGAAAGCCTGCGTACATCCAGGGCGTATCACTCGACAAGCCAATGTGATATGCGACGTTTCATATCCGAATCGGTCGAAACAAAGTCGCTGGAGAGTTTGGAACGCGAAATGAAACTGCGGAGGCACGCGGTGAGTGGCGAAGGCGCCATGCTCGCGTCCTCCGAGGAAATGATCAGCGCCGAAAAGCGAAGAGGGCTGTGGTCCGGAAGGATGAAGGTGCCCCAGCATCTCAGTTTGCCGCCACCGTCCGGATATTTAAGTTTAAGTCCGGGAGATAGAAGACTGACTATATTATCCCCTCATTCCCCTCACAGAGGACAGGATTTGTTTCACATGTCTCAGATTACCCTCAAAACCAGAAGGAAGAAAGCTATGATATTGCCTAAACTTGTGTTGCCTAGAAGCGAATCCGAGATCAGTGAAGTTTTTTCGGAGAATATTGAGTAAGTATTTGCAGCCGATCTCAATCATTATTCTATTTTCTCATTACACCTGATCTGACACATCTGACCAATTGTCCAACAGTCATTTATCTTTATCGAAGAAACGTTGATTTTCCTTAGAGAAGGAGTAACTGTGACTATACTGCAAGTGGGCCAAAATTGTCATCCTGCTTCTGTTATATTTGATTCAATTTCTTAACAAAAAAAACTTCAGAAATTCTTAGCGTTTACTAATGGAGGTCACTTTTAGCCCTCCAAGATCTCATCTAGAGATACTGAGTATCGGCATTTATATGATCTTTCGTTGCAAACCGTATTGAAGGCTAGTAGGCGAAAAAGATGAGTTGAAATTTCTATTCGAACCAACTGAATATTTTATAGGCGTCTTTTAGAACGCCCTTTTATACCCCCGTTTCTTTGATGGGGTGTCAGCTAATCAAATGTTCACATCGTCAGCGGCAGTGTTGTCTCGACCATTGCGTGTCTGCCAGTTGATCATAAAGATGTGGCGTTATCTTATAAACGCTAGAGTACCCCCTTTCTAGTGACGGAGTCGCAAAATCGTACTATTTTCTTCACTTGCCTTCCGCTTCTTGACGGGGATGTGATCTGTGGTGAATTAGGTGCTGAATTTCTTCGTTGGTGTGGTGGACGTGTGTCGTTGGAGTTATGTTGGCAATGGCGCTCATCAGCTCGACGGTGTCCTCCTGGTTGGGTCTCTTTTGTGTGACGAGGATGTTTGTTAGCAACCGATTGGATCAAAGGGATTGTAGCAGCCTGTTTGCAACTGTTGCACATGCGTTTGTGGTGTGCTGTATCTCAGCGACTCAGTAACTTTCTGGCTCGGTAGCCTGTTGTGTGCTTATGCTGGTCCTGGTACTAATGCAGTGCTGGTGCTTGTACTCCTTCTTAGTTTGCGGGTCCTACCGTTGATATCTGACATCTTGATTTGGGTTGTGACGTTTCATTTGCGGTTTTGGTGTTTTGCGCGTGGTTTTGACGTTCTCCGATTTGAAAACGTTCCTTCGCGTATATTTTACCACTCGTAAATAAAACGCTTTGCTATGAATCAGGCTACTTATAAGTTTTTCTTCGGCACGAAATTCGTTTATTGGCATATAAAATTGCAGGTAACCCGAAATTTTTCACAAATTCGAATTTGTTTAATTTGTTTCTCCACTACGTACACGAAATGTAGGAGTTCTCGCTACTTCATACATTTTTATGCGAAGTTAAACTGCTAATTCTTTAATACTTTATTATTTCGCTCTCTAACTGCTCTCGCTAGTTGAATCTAGTCCGCTAGAAAAACCGAAGCGGGCCATCTTTTATAAACGCAATGACCTCGACCGACGTGCCCTAACAGCCAATAGCAAACCAGCATTTCGGCTTTTTCAGCCGCCTCAAATGGAATGAACTTTTAGGTTACTGGCCTACTAGTTTACCACCAAATCCAAAGGTGGTTGGGGAACTACTTTGATGGGGAACAACTCTGTACCACCATTCTTGTTTCGTTTCATTGTAGTTGCAAAAAGGCGGAAATAGAGCCTGCACATGCATGAGGGCATGGTTTTAGTAGGATCAGCTGCAACAACATCATACTATTTCTGCTGGGCGATGGGGATGAGGAAGATCTGACAGATGCCGACCAGGACGAGGTTGAGGGCCGTGACATGGATCCCACCATAGATAAAGAAGTGGGCCGCTTGGACGGGCCCCCTCCTCCCTCCTCCCTCCACTCTCCAAACAATACAGACTCTGTGATCACCTAGTTGAGGCATAATGAACCCATCAAGCAGGATGCAAAACCTCCTTTGATAGTATACCTTCTTATAATAATAATAATATTGTTTGTAAGCGTACCTACTCTGAGAATAATCGAGGAATATGTAGGTACGTATTTTTCCTAGTGACCCTCAAGTAATCGTGGGTCTCCTGTGCTCAAATTCCATGCTCAAATCGTTTACGGTATAACATGCATCTACTCCCTCCCCCTCTTAAAAAGGGTTGTCGTTTTTACGCACGAAAATGTTCTCTGCAATTCCATGGAACCGATTTAATCAATCTTGATTATCATCCCTTGTGGCGCAATAACTTGCTTCTCTGTTAAACAGAAAACCCACGTAATGTATCCTAAATTCCTGGACCCACTGTGTAAAATCTTGTATTCACTGTATGTTTTCGCGGATGCATGTAACCAACGAATGGCATGTTCTGGCTTCGAACTACCCGTATTAAAATTTTGCGGTGGCTTTACGCAGAAATTCTAAATTTTTTCTCTCAATAACGCATTCCTATCTAATTTGCTTATTAATTGATGCTTCCAAAATGGCACTGTATTAACGAAATCGGCCATTTTTAACCATTAACTCTTTTGATTCGTTTAATATCTACTAATTACACTAGTTCTAGAGCCGTAACTCAAAATCCCACGTTTAAATGTGCAATATTGCTTTTCCGAAGTTTGCGGTTAAATCATACTGCGCATTTTCTACGTCCTTTTATCGCGGAGAGGTTGTCACCAAGACACCCGAAAGCCTTTAAACGGTTATTGCGCATGAACGCTAAAAAATGATCGGTAATTTTACCAAGAACTTACAAACTAAGATTTACTAAAATTTTAAAATTGTCAACCCCGTAATGGAGACACCTCGTATACTTTCTAATACAGAATTAGCAAAATATGCAACCCCTTTACATCTATTAAAAAAATCGAAAAATTTAAACCGTATTTAAATGCTCCCGTTACAAGGGATCTGGACGTTTCGGGGCCTCAGGATATAACTGAATTTCAAGATCTTCAGCATGCCATGAAGCAACAGGAAGCGTCCTGGACAGTTTAGAAGCACCTCTAAATAGTAAAATCTATAAATTAAATGAATGCCACGTCCAAGAAACACGCGGGAATAATTAGCACTTTGCAAAACGCATTACAGCCTTTGAGGTGAAATATAAATGAACCGAAGGCATTAATAATGTACCTAAGTACTTTAGGAATGAATGACAAGATTAATTAAATTGTTTTGACTTGAAGCGCCTTTAATTGTTATCGCTCCAAAACCTCAAGGACCTCTACGTTTGTTTCTGATCCATTTTATATCGTTTTGTTTCAACCACAAATTTTGAAAGACCGCACAAAGGATTAGGTAGTTTCTCAAGGAACGTTATTATGGCATCAGTCACTCATTCATAAAGTTCGAACAAGGTTAGTGTGTTGCGCATAAATCTTTTTCTAGGACATCCCCTGTCAAGTATCTTTTCAAATTCGAGGGTGTAGGAAGACTTTGATTAATTTCATGTGGGCTCATCCATTCAGCATCCGCCGCTTTTATCTCAAAGGCTTACTTCCGCCGGTTTCGCTTAATTCGCCTGTATAGGGAATTAAGCTCACGCGCCGGTGGCGTACATCGACAACAACAAAAATCGTCGAGATTATGGAAGGCTCCTCGTTCGATTCAAACGCCCGAACGTCTTTGATTCATTTTAGAGTTGAAACTCATTTAGGCCGTGTTATCCATAATTCAGCAGTACACTTTCGACACCATAAATAACGACGTTTGATGTATAAGGGAGCTTTACGTCAGGGATTGCAAAATGAGCTTTGGGATTTGGGTCGGCCTAGTATCTAACTAGATACATTTTGTGAATTGTACAATTCAAATCCAAGGAAGTTGTGTATCACTTGTCCTTTTTAACATGATTACAAAAAGCATGTAAATGTTTTGAATAGTTCTTCAATACGAACTGGCAACCGAGACATTTTTGGTCTCATGATGGGAACAGTTTTAGGCGATGAATCATACACAACTTACTTCGATTTAAGGAAATCTTAGTTGAAATTTTCTTCATTGTATTGAATATCACTGATATCCTGCCATTCCGTTTCCTACTTTGAAAATATTTTGTTATTCTTCTTTTGAGATACGATACCCGTTTGAAGTTATTAAATCTTTGCAGGTGGTTTGAGAGCAGCTCAAAATTCACGAGTGGGATGGTGGAAAGTATTCATGCACTCAGTTGCTGTATTTTATTTAAGAAGCTCCCATTGTCATGATTTAGTTCACAAACATTATTCTTTGCCTTTCTAGATCCAGAACTAACTGGCACAACTTTCACTTTTACCATATTTTTTATATGATATTTTAATACCAACAAAGTGTCCGATTTTTAGGGTTTTTCATGGTACACCTAACTTTGGAGCCTCATAAGAAGAAAACCACTCGATCAAAACGTGCCAAAATTAAAATTTTCGAAATTAAATTTTTGTGGTCGCTAGAGCCGATTTTGGAACAGACTGTCCGAAATTAGAGGTTTATTTTCATCTCATTAGGATAAATAAAATAATGAGATTAATTTAACAAATATAAATTCTTCTGTTTTTGTAAATAACTTTAACTGGGCGGAGAGTTTTTACCACTGGGTCTTTGAGTCTCATACGTGAGTTTACATTTTCCACTGGCAGTAGAGAAATAATCGTATAGTCAAAATATACAGGGTGTCCATTATGTATGGAATATAGTATATATCTAGATAAATATTGACTGTGTACAAAATTTTAATATATGAAAGTTGTTTAGCATTTTATTTCCCATAATAAAGCAGCATTCCATTGTTTTTATTTCAGAAAACATGAATAAGGATACTAACATGTTATATTATCGAAAAGAGAAAAAAAATCACTATCAAATGAGCCTAATGAACAGGTGCACTGCCATTTAAAATGTTCTACAACTTTCATATAAAAAATTGTTGTGTACAGGGTGCGAGGTACTGTATCTGGGAACCTGTCCATCGTAGAGGCTTGCGGTAAAAAAATTTATTACTAGAACGGCCACGAGAAAAACCTGGAAAATATTTTTAAGTTTCTGCAATGGCCGCTAGGGGACGTAATTGCAATCTGGAATCTAAAAAAGTGATTTTTCTGTGAATTCCGCTATATTAACCTAACAAAAAAATGTCCGATCTTTGAAGTTGACGATAATCTAAACCTTTTTTGTTTGACAATTTTTCCTGTATCTCTAAAAATGAAGTGGTGGGGGGTATTCAAAGGTTTCCGTAAAGAACACCCTGTATCTTCGAAACGATTGAACCGATTTTAACAAACTCGGATTAATTGAAAAGAGCTACTCTTCACTTACAAATATTATACTATTTGAAGTTTTGTTAGTTTCACATATCGCCGCTTGAGGGCTTTTTTAGACATTCCGACAGGGATGGTTAATTTTCTCAAAAAAATTAAATGCGTTGGTTTGATTTTTTTTTCATAAAAAAGTAGCTAAATGATGCCTAAACAAGCTCGCGAAAACCGCATCTCGATATCTTGTTCCTAACCTAAAATGTAGGCCAAAGAAAATTTTATACCCTCAAAATTTAATTTTTTTAAGCTAATTTTTCCGGAATTATTATTATTATATAATTTGTGGCCCTAAGATATCGAGATGCTGTTTTCGCGAACTTGTTTAGACATCATTTAGCAACTTTTTCATGAAAAAAAATCGGACCAATGCATTTCATTTTTTTGAGAAAATTAACCATTTCTGTCGGAATGTCGAAAAAAGCCCTCAAGCGGTGATATTGTGAAACTAACAAAACTTCAAATACCTAGTATAATATTTGTAGGTGAAGAGTAACTCTTTTGAACTAAACCGACTTTCTTTAAATCGGCTCAGCCGTTTCGAAGATACAAGGTGTTCTTTACAGAAACCTCTGAATACCCCCCACCACTTCATTTTTAGAGATACAGGAAAAATTGTCAAACAAAAATTGTTCAGATTATCGTCAACTTCAAAGACCGGACATTTTTTTGTTAGGATAATATAGCGGAATTCACAGAAACATCACTTTTTTAGATTCCACATTGCAGTTACGCCCCCTAGCGGCCATTTCAGAAACTTAAAAATATTTTCCAGGTTTTTCTCGTGGCCGTTTTAGTAGTAAATTTTTTACCGCAAGCTTCTACGATGGATAGATTCTCAGATACAGTACCTCGCATTCTTAATTGGCCACCCTGTACATTCGATATTTACTGACATATATACGATATTCCATACATAATGGGCACCCTGTATTTTAATTCTATATTCAAATTAATCGACTAACAAGGTAGTAAGGTAGTAAGTGTTGCTTGGAAAAAGTTGAGTTGAATAGCAGAAGGCACCAACTCGCTGGGATCTCCCCCTCTCCTTCCTTATTCCTATTCCCTTTTACATCTCAATTTATCCACGCACCGTCAAAGGTTGTAATTAACTTTACTAACTTTGTTCCCGAGTAACCCTTCCATCCCTAACTTGCTATTATCTCTATGCTTTTCGTTCGCTTCTTGAGTATTATGCTCGCCAGGAGAGGATGCCGGTCACAGAACACCTGATTCCGGTCTACAATCGAATGGTTTAATATGAAAACATAGTAGACCGTCATCGGGTGTATGACCGGCATCCTCTCCTGGCAGTGGCGTAGCGTGGGCCATTGTCGCCCAAGGCGGAATCATAATTTGCCGCCCCTTTGACGTCATAAAAATAATAACGAAAACGCCATCGAGCTTGGACACAGCTTATAATATTAGGGGCCAGGTGTGGACACGTCACACAAAAAAAATACATAAAAACACAAACTAAATATGAATTAATAATACAAGATTTGTGACTACTTACGCACTGATGAGTATGATACTCTCGTCTTCGCAAAGAACGATATATACACACGTATGATATTTAATTGCATAAAACAATAAATAAATTTACAATTCAGATCCAGGTTACACTTAATTAAATTCGAATTCGTAGGCCAGCTGTCATTAGAAACTACAACTTATAATCTAATCATCTTAACAGACAGAAAGATGTAACCTCGCGTTTACATTAGCGATAAAGGCAAAGATAAATGGCAAGAAACTTTACAGTTTATTATACTTCCGCTACTTTTCTACTAAGGTAATCAATTGTAGAGCAATTGGTCACGACAATGGCAAAGATAAACGGGAAGATAAACTAACAACAAAGGCACTTTACAGGTTACCTGCCCGATTGCAGCTCCGGTATTTCAGATAATCATTTGCGTAGCAGTTCGTCGATCTTAAGTACAATGTGTTAGATCAGTTCCAGCCGACAGATAGTCTTCGATTCGAAAATGAGTGCTAGCATTTATTCCAGAACAACGGTACTTCTTTAATTCGAAAAAGGTACAACCAAAAAACCAATTGATAAATGCGTTTCGGATTGCGATATATGTAAATTAAAAGGTATCAACAATTCCTCATTCACGTAAATACCTTTAGATATATAATTTGCACCTCAGATTTCAAATCTTTCGAAAAGTAAGTGCCTTTCAGTCAATGACAACGACATAAATGATAACCCCATTCCTACAAACTTGCACTCACCTAACTCACTAAAAGCGCTTTCAGCCAATCATTCAACCTAAGGTAACATTCAACGCAAAAACGGAACGTTACAGGAGCTTAACCATATATGATTAGAAACTCGATTAGAAACTTTATATTAAAAAAGACGACTTTTGGGACAAATATTATACAAGATCGTCCGTAAAATGACATTATTTGACTCGGAAATTAAAATATTTGGCCTCCTAGGGACCTCGTACTGCAATTTCCTCGCCAGTAAGGTGTCACTTTCTTGACATTTAAGTCAATAACTATTACGAATATATACCAAATGCAACACCACTCGCGACACATGATACATGTTGATAGTGGTAAACATGCAAATAGGATCACAAAAATCCGTTTCTTGTTTTTTTGTTCAGAAACCATAGCACACACATACAAAGCAGGAACTAAATATTTGTTGATAATTCCCCTAAATCGCTGTCATATTTTAGGCTCGATTTTTGTTATTGTGTTGGAATTAGACCTAACTGCATAACAATCGCACATCCAAATAGATATGGCAACAAAAATAGATTTAAGCAAAGGTGCCATAAGAAGTTGGCACACACTCAGTATACAAATTAATATTCAAGTAAAACGAGTTTTTCAATATTGTCAATCAAATGAATAGGACGGAGCTAGTATATTTGTTAAATTCACAGTGGGCAAATTTACAATAACCATTTTTGGTGTATGCGCCATCCTACATTAGGCTTTTCTGTGAAAATTGACCCACAGACGGCAAGTTTGCTTTGGATTGTAAGCTGAAATGGATGCAAAGAAGTAATTATTGGCAAAATGGTGGGGGGAGCACACAGCTAAACAATAATAATGATGTTATCTGTAGCCGTCAGCAAAATATGACGCGAGGCTTTCAGATCAGTATAACGCATAACGCATCCCCGAAAATCCTTCAAATCCGCCCGGTTACAGTAATGCGTAGGATTTCGAATCCAATAACTGAACAGAAAATACACAGTACGGTTCCCCATTCACCATTAATCACCACGATACTTTATTGGGTAGTAAAACATGGGACGCCAGAAAAATACGGATCCTTGTAAATAGAAAATTGAATTGGCGAATGACTACGCTAGAAATCAGCGACTATCTTCGCTCTGGATAATCGAATTTTATAATTAGGATTTTGATCCATTTGATTGACAGGCTGTATGAATTTCTAACGCAAGGGACGCAAATATGTTCGTGTTAAACGAATTTCGATAATTTTGTCGATTGTATGGTAGTATACTTTTAACCCCATCGTTTGGGGTTAAAATACGAAGGGCGAGGAAATGTGTTGACATAAGTAAAAGCATCAATTAAACATAGGTGGATTTTAAAAAGAATGCATTAACCAGAGTTTTAGTCGAAGCAACCGCCTGCGACAGGCGCAATTAGTAGGAATGAGATTAGCATTTATACGTACAAGATTAATTTCCATTGCTTATATTCCAGCATTGTCGGGAGCTTTGTTGCAAATTTATCACGAACTCGATGTGCTTTAATTGGTCTTAACGTATAATTGTACTGTTATTCTAATGGTTCGTTTAAATTGAATCTAATTGCGTTGTCGGCGTGCTATAAAATTTTCTTCTTTGTTAATTTTGTTATGTGTTGACGTAGATGCCTGAAGCAATCACTGGGTGGCTGGATGATTGAAATAGGCTGCGTGCGTCACTGAAATTGGTATAATTCATAAGGTAAGATCGGATAGACCTGGAAACCTTTGTCCCGAAATATGTTTGAACTCGCGATTGTAGGCAATTAAATTCACTAGAATGTATCGCTTTCACGACAAACAGCCGCGTCAAAATGTCAGGCATCGCCGATCCATATTGATTTGTATTGTCGAATGTTTTCCCGTTTTGCAGTATACCTATTTATTGCCATTAATTGAACTTTGCACTTTGAAGGTCTAACGTTTATTTCTCTCCCTGCTCATTATTTTACTATATTTATTTTATTATAACTGCGTAGAGGTAATGCCGCAGGTACGGATTACGTATTGATTACTCGACAATTATAAATAGAGCCCTGCAGTTCCATAGAGAGTTTTGGAAGTAAACGAATATTTTAAAATCAAGTCATTTACCCGAGGTTCGTATTTTTCAACATAACCATGATTATATGACATCATCTGTTCTGATAGAATGCTGTTTACTTGTCCTACCCTTGCCTTCTTTGACTCTAAACGTAAAGAGGTCTTGACCTATTATCAATATTAATTATAGATTTCGGTGGGGTGTTCTCCAAGCTGACCTCGCCACTGAATTACTTTTTACAGGGCAACGTAGTTCAATTTACTTACGTCGCTCCAGACTAATAATAATGCAGTAGATAGACTGGATCGGGTCAGCTAGTTTTGCTTATAACCACCATATACGTATTATGCTAACCTTATAGGTACGCAGTAACTTCAATGAATAGGGTAATAAAAAATGCCTGATCGACACCTGTATTAGTTAAAATGAATCCAAGTTGACAATTTTCTACACTAGTAGTTTTGTCTAATTTCCTAAAACAACATTTTATTTTATTTATTTAGCATGACTTATACTGTTTCTTTGTTTTAGGTGAGTACCATCTTCAATTTCAACTAGAAGTAGCGCAGTAAGTACTAGCTTCGTTATTATGTTCTGGTATTTTTGGAATAGATCTTCAAATTCGCATATCTTTCACGACGAATTATTTTTTTATTTTTATTTTTTATTTTTGCCTTCATTTTTGAGTGGGCGGGGTTTCATCCAAGGCTGCTCTACCAACCCAATTCACTATATATTTACAAATATCCATGCCCGAACTCGGATCGAACCAGGGACCCTTAGCACCACAGTTCAGCTTTAACTGAACTGCGCCACACAGGCCGGGGGGAAAATGGCACTCTTTTGAGTAATGCAAACAAGCAAACCAAGCAAAAATGTTTGTGTGTCAGATTTCAGACCTCTCAGACAATAATGGCGTTTTTTACTAAAACAGGTAAACAGCTAAACCCGCATAACCAGATAAACTGGCGAACAAGAAAACTGTAAAAAAACAGCATTATTGAGAACCACACCCTGTTTATCGGTATACCCGTTTGTCTGTTCACTTGTTTATCTGTTTACGTGTTTATCTGGTTTATTTGATTACCTGTGTCTGTAGACTCTAACTCCAACGTTTTCAAGGACCTGGAAAAGTCTCCAATAGCCTTTCAAACGCTCATTTTCCTCTCTTTTGCTTTTGATTATTTTTAATGGTCTTAGAGGGTTTCTTAGAATCCTTAACAGCTATAAGAGCGTGATCGAACTACGCATGTAGGATATCTACCAACAGTACGGCACTACGTACTTAACCATACACTGGCCAACACCACACGAGAACCGAAAGAACACGAATAATTAATTCCCACGGAGTATTATTTATTATTAACACATCGACACTCCGCTAAAACATAGCGCACCCAAAGCACATTACAGAGCGTTCAAACACATGTTCGGGGCGAACCTTTATTAAATGATTGATGATCCTCAGATCTTTTATAATTTTGTGTTGTTGTCGTCCGTCTTCTTAAGGTCCGATCGTGTTGAAATTTATTGAACGAGTTTAAGCTTCTCCAAGATCATTCGTGGGTCTTTTACGCACTTTGATAGCGTTCAAGAGACTGTAATACTTTTAAGAACCCTTTACATGGAGGTTTTAAGAAAATTGAAGGCCTTTAGGATATGGGGTATTCGGGGTCTTTAAAAACCTTTGGGTTCTCAAGATTCTGCCATGCAAAACCATCTAAGACAGCATTCTTCCCCTTACGTCAAAAATCCTTGAAAAAGTCCTATCTAATGGGATTTATGCCCGTTTGCACCGACAAATCTTAATCGGAGCTTAGCTTAAGCGTCCCTTAAAATCCATGGCAACCATTGTCTCAATAATCGTTGCCATGGATTTTAAGAGACGTGTAAGCTAAGCTCCGCTTAAATTTGTCGATGCAAAAGGGGCAAGGCGTATTTAAACCAGCATAACGTCTCCCAGAAATTCAATCGGGGTTTAGATCGTCTTACACGGTCTTGTACTTTTTTACAGGGCTTCGTTCCAAATGTAAATGTCTTGTTTATAGTTTATAACATAATCAAATTTGGAGTGAATTTGCCGTTTTATTAAAGGAAAATTGGGGTTGGGTGTTCCGAGAGAGATGGATTAAATTTTTGTTAGCTTTATTGCTAGGTTTCTTGGGTATTATCATTAATATGTGTGTAATTAGATTTTACTTTGTGAAGTTGAATTTTGTGGGGATTTTTTAGGGGTGCGCGTAGTGATACACACGGTGCAGGGTGGCCGATGGCTTGGTAATTACAAACTTTTAGTAAATGTAGATTTGTAGGGAAGTTCGGAGTTTTCAATTAAAGTTTAGCAATTATTTTTTATGCGTGATTTGAATTATATAGCATGTTGACCTTACGACAGTATAACGGTTCACTATCTAATTAGTTTCTCATATCCCAAAACTCCAATGTTGCGCTTTTAAAGTTGGGTAGGATGTTGTTACGACTCGCGTGTAAATCGAGGGGAACATAACCAATCAAATTTGTTCTTGAAAAACTTATTTCCTCTCGAAAAGGGCGTTAATTAACTAAAAAAGAATAGGGAGGGATTAATCTGAAAAGGTTTTTGAAGGCATTACGAGTCAGGCCGGCGTAGAGCTTGTTAGCTAAGAGCTCAGATCAATGTTCGGTTTTGATCCACGGGAGCGTTAACCGTACTGCTCAAAATAAAGTTTTTCGGGAGATTCCATTTTCAACCATGCGATAAAATTCGTTCTGAGGTTTTTGGAATAATAGCCCTCTTTTCTCTTGTGGGCACAATTTTTGTTATTAGTTGCGCTATTTTGTGCTACTTCCCCACCAGGCTGGTTATTTCCTCTATGATGTTTTCCATGCTAATCGGGTTCCCCAGCCACGAATGGGCAAAGTGATAGTCAACCTCCCCATATTTTTGTCCACGGACTTATTGGTCCTGGGTATCAAGGCCCGCGTCCAGGAGTTTCTTTTTTCCCACCTTTGCTGCCACTCGTGCATTAGTCGCAAGGGCCGTAGCCAGGGGGGTGCCAGAGGGTGCCTGGCACCCTCTGGATATTAAGTGGCACCCTGTGACCGATCACGATCCGAATCGTCAAATAAAAATGTACAAAGTGCTATTTTTGTACGTTGTAAATTAATTATCATATATAATACCATAAGTAGTCGAAGTATTGTCGAATATTTTTGAGGTGCTGTCACGAATGCTAGTTACGCTGATTAATACCACGACGCTTGCGCGAGTGGTATTAAAAAGCGTAACTAGCATGAGTGGAGCAGCAGCTCAAAAATAATCTACAAATACTTCGACTACGAATGGTATTCGGAGGACTATTCAATGAATCAAAAGAAAAATTAAGCATAATTACCCACGCGAATGTATTTCCATGACAACAATAAACGTCAAAATAAATTATGGAAGTTGCTTTTCATTTTGCTATTGATTCTATTCGAACTTTTGTGCTCCAAGCTAATTCGTTATGAGTGATTAAATTAAAAGATGTGGTGATAAGTCGGTTGTCGAAATTGATTAACAAACTAAGAAGAATGTTCCGGTTAATATGACAAAATTTCGCGTCATTTCACTGGTGGAAGTTTGACAAATGTCATTGAATAATCGCATTGAATTGTCGCTGAAATACCACACGTGAAATTATCACTTATAATTGCACAAGAGGTTTGTTTACCGAGTAAATTTGGGTTGTTTAGGTAATGAAAATCTGTTGCCTAGCAATTAGACGAGAAAAACTGTCAACTAATAAAAATGCGACACCGCAGGTGGAGCATTTTTAGGTTGACAGTTTTTCGAGTCCAATTGCTAAAAGGAAACAGATTTGAATTGCCACAACCCAAATTTACTCGGTTTAAATACAAACCTCGAGTGTAATTCGGCAGGACAATTTAACGAACAAGAAATTCACCAAACTAATCAATTATTGACAGACGTCAAACTAGTCATATGGGTAAGGATAATGCGATTATTGGTTCGAAAATGAATAAGTGAAAAAACCACTAGTGCATTTGTCGCTGGAAAAGTTGCAGGTAACTTTTGCCGCTGTCAAAGTGACAATTACACTGCGGCTTATGCGATTTTTTATACATGAGTTGAATTGTCGCTGAAATACCACACGTGCAATTATCACTATAATTCGTTCCCATTGGCGCAGCAATTTGAAATCGAGACATTTCACTGGTTGAAATGTGACAAATGTTAGATGAATTGAATAGTCACAAATATACAATATTATTGTTGTTCAATATTATTGTTGTTCATAATTATTACAAAAAAATTGAATAAAAATGATTATTCTTGATAATTATAATACCTACATACTACACTTTGTAGTATGAGTACAATAATGGTTATTAGAATTATGCAATTTGATTCAAAAGTAACAAGTTTAAATAACTCAGATTCAGACATATCTGAAATCTGAAGTTATGGACTTTCTATCTCTAGGCTTGTTTCTTGCTTGACAAGTTAGCAACATCGATGATTACATTCGAAAAGGAAAGAACTAAAAATATAGACATGAACACACTTCTAAGAGAATTTCGTAATGCCAAAGAGAGAAGGTTGCAATTCCAGCTTTTTTCTATTGTTATAAATAAATTGTATTAGATAAACTATATTTTTATCTAATATTTTTATGTATGCTTAAGTATTGATTCGATTGACTTATATTTATGTTACGTTTATTTTATGTTACATCTTTTGTTTTTTTTTAATATTTAATATATATATCGGATAAAATTAGTTTTTTTAATATATTTTTTGCTTTTTTGACAAACAAGTCTCTCGAGACTTCATTTTTGTAAACAATAAGTGCACCCTCCAACATTTCGTTTGCACCCTTACAATTTTCGTTCTAGCTACGGCCCTGCTCGCTGCCTATTTTACCCCCCTATCCGATTATTGAGATTTGCGCTGGAATAAGCCCCCCGGCGTAACCTGTTCCACCTTTGCGATCGCTGGTCTCCAAACCTCCACCCCGTTAAATAGCACAGAGATTGCTTCCGTCGCCTTTCTTTTCGAGGCTTGCATTCCTACGTGGGACATGAATTTTCAGGGCTTTTTAGCTAGCTGTTTTGGCGTATGTTCTAAGATTGAGTTTTGGTCTATCGTGACTCCCAAGATCTTTATTCTGGGCTCGGCGGTAAGTCGCTGGCCTAACAGCAGTAACAACTCGACCGTATAATCGCAGATCCTTCGACTTTCCGTCATTAAAGCCACATTTTTTTCGGTCGAGACTTCTATCCCGGGTCAGGTTGTCTGCGAAACCTACCACTTTCCTCATTCTCGTATGGTAATATTAGCACCCCATCGAACATCGCTTTCCACAGCAAGGGTCCTAAGACGGACCCTTGCGGCACTCCCGCACTCGATCTAAACTTATGCAGCTCACCCTAGGACTTTTTGGCAGTCACTATCCTCATGGTGAGATAGCTGCGCACCAGCTCCTCCATGTACTCTTCCGCCCCTAAGTCGATCAACGCTTAAGCCGATCGCCTCCCTTGTATTATCTTCTCCAGTATCTTGCCGGCAAAATCTATCGGA